TTCAGTCTAAGTGTACCTCTCTTGGAACTCATAGAATGTGCGAATTTCTTTCTTAGCCAAAAATGCTCCTAGAGATGGTGTTACTACTCTCTAGAATAAACACAAATAAAAATTCCCAGGTAGTATTTCGCACTTACGTCAGCAGTTCTGTTTCTTCACAGTCACCTGCAAATTGTGCGCTTGGCTGTGTCTGCTTGGGCGCCTAGCAGCTCAGTCATCTAATTATGTTGCGGTGTAACTGCCCCTGTAGTGGTCTGCATCTGTTGTTCCATCAGGCAGGGCTTGAGGAACCATGCTGGCCTTGGACAGAGGGGAGTGGGAAGCTAGCTCTGTATTGCTCTTCCTTCTCCTGGTCTAGGCGCTTGGCTGTGATTTCAGTGGTGTGTAAGAGGACCAGCAATAGGAACCAGCCTTGCCTGAGGCCCTGACTGCATGCTCCTACCCTGTTTATGCTGGAAACACCTGCCTTGCCCATGCCGTTCTTATATTTATTTGGGGTAATATTTTCTGGGGGAACTGAGACAGGGTCTGGCTCTAAACACTATACACCTTGCTTTTCGTAGTAAGCACATGGTGAATATTAGTGTCTACTCTCCTCACTGGGCTCCCAGCTGGCCCTACCACCTCCTATTGTGTGTCTTGGAGTCAGCCACTTCCCCCTTCCCAGTCTCAGTGCCCTCAGCTGCAAAATGAAGGCACAGAACACACACATGATCGTGTTCTGATATGGTTAAAGGAGAAGACTATATAGGTAACATTTATTGAATGTGTCTTCTATGCCCTTGTCTAAGTATTTGTCTAAACATGTCACAATTGCTCAGTATTAACATTATTAACTTACAATCACATATAAAATAGATCTCTTAGTTCCCTTTTTACAGATGAGGAAACTGAGGCAAGGAATGGTAAAGGAATATTTCCAAGGTTATACAAACAGAAAGTGAGGGAGCTGAGATGAGTTTGGCTTCAGCCTGTGCTCTAAACATTATCCACCAGGCCTTTCTGTAATTAGTATGTGGTAAGTATAGTGGTGCGTAATGGGTTTGCTCTTCTTTCTGGCTTCCTCTTGAAATCTCTAATCTGAAATAGGTATGCCACCCCAATCAGCACCATGGTGCACATGAGAGGTAGTGACTAAATACTTACTGATAAGATTAAGTAATAAAACCGAGTGCTAAGCATCTGTATAGTTTTGTCTAGTAATGGATGTGTATTGTATTGTGTTTATTGACATTTCACCTGCAAAACAACCTCAGTGACTACCTGGGCAACTTAGCATTCAGGCCTCTATAGTGATCTGGCTCAAGATGCCATTTCCAACCTTTTTGTGCCCTTGCTATTTCCATAAACCTTGTTGATATTTAAGCTCAGTCAAGGACAGGACTTATTTTATTGTGTTTATCTTTGTACGTCTAGTACTTAGTGGGAATCTAAATAATATTAATGAATGAATATGGCTCGGTCACCATGAACTGCCACTGTTCCTATACGCACTCTAACAGCAAGCACTGCCACTCCCTGGCTTTGATGGGACTAGACATGGTCCCAAGTCCTAGTCCTGACATAAACTAGCCTTTACTCAGTATGTTAACCTTCACAAATAATTCCATCAGTTTCATTTTACCTTTTACTAAAATGATCTGGCTGGGCTGCCACTAATTGGGCTTAGGTTTTAGTTGTTTTTCTCATAATGATGATGGATTTTTATTGATTTGTCCACACCACATTTCACTCTCCTCATTATCAGATTTTGCCACTTTGCCTATGAATGAAAGAAAACCCCATTTAACTGGCATCTTAGTATGTGAGTGGGGGTTTAAAAATACGACTGCCAAATCTAACTTACTTATGAAGGAGTGCCCTTTTTAATGCTTAAAACTAGACTTTCCTGTCATAGAAACATGTTTTTCTTCTAACGTGTGAAGGAGAAAGGAACTAAGATTCATTTAGCACCTCTTGCTTGGGCCTAATGCTGCAGTAAAAACTTTTGTTATTATGCGATCTTCAAAACAATCTTGAAAAGGAATATAGCTTAGGTAAGACTCAGCCTTTGATGTCAGAAAGTCTGGGTCTGGGTTCTGGCCCTCCATCCCACCCACTGCACCATCTTGAGAAGTCTCTTAATCTCCAAACATCACTTTTATTCTCTGCAAACTGATGTGATGATATCTCATGTTTGGCATTTGGGAAGGGATTTTGTTGCCTCTTTCTCCAACACACAAGAAATATCCAAATGGGAACCAAAGTATTGGTTTAGCAATGACTGGGCAAGCACCCCATAACCCCTAAAATGTGAGACTTATTTAGGGAAGTGTGCTGGCCCAGGAGGCCAGGGCCTGGAAGGCTAAATGAGGCTTCATTCACATCCCCACTTTCCTTGAATCTGAGACATCAGAGGACCTGGTCGTGGCTTCCAGTTGGTCACATAAACAAGTGGTTGGACTCAGAGGAAAGATCTGAGCTGGGCGTGGCTCTGCCTTGGCCAGATTACTGCCTGGGAGCAAGTAGTTCAAGTGTGCCCACTGGGCATGACACCAGGAAGAGGACTGGCAGGAGGCATGCGAAGCATGGGCAGTGACCTGCAGGCATGGGAACCGGCACGGCAGAGGACAGGGTGGCAGTAAGCTGTTCTCTATGGACCAGCTTCCTCAGCATGAGGCAGGTACTTGAGCTGAAGGCAGACAGGCCCCTCCCCACCTCCACCCCAACGATAACAACAGAATCACTAAGAACAGGAAACAAATCTTGGGATTCAAAAAAGATTCTGTAGCCCTGGCCACTGTGCTCAGTTAGGCGAGCATCGTCCCAGGCACCGCAAGGCTGCCTGTTCAATTCCAGGTCAGGTTACATGCCCAGGTTGCAGGTTCGGTCCCAGTAGGGGAGGATTCGGGAGGCAGCCGATTGACGTTTCCCTCTCGCATCGATGTTTCTTTCTCTCTCTCTCCCTTTCCCTTCTTCTCTCTCTGAAAAAAAAAAAAATTAAAAAATATTTTTTAAAAAGTGATTATGTATATAAAATGCCTAGCACATTCACACTGTGAAAGCACCAATGATCACTACATCCGGTAAGCGGAAGCAATTTTTATTAGGTAAGTCTTATCATCCAGATGATTGTATAGAGGAAGAAAGAAGAGACTCAGAGATATGAATTCTGGTCTCATAAAAAACCAATAAGAACAACATCACAAAAACTATACCTTGTTTTAGATTTAGAAACCCCCAGAAGCACTTTTATTAAGGCTCTGTAAGTGGGAGAAAATAACCAGGCTGTTGTCTGCAACTTGAAAAGTCACCCTAAGCTTTCATAGCAGGTGAACTCAGGGCTGAGCTTGAAGAATGGGGAACATGCTAATGAATATTACATGCAGTGCCATTCGGCATCAGCCATAAATTCCATTTGCAAACCATCACTACCTCTTACATTTTCCATGTAATATGACTTCATGCAGTGATCTCAAAATATATCAGCAACTTTGACACAAATTAGGGCTAAGTAGTTACAGTTTGGATTAGACAGCAAAGTTTTATAGTAAAGCAACTTGACAAGGAAGCCCCTTATCTCTTGACATTGAGTAAGAGGAAACACATCACAGAGGTTTCTACAAATTGTGATAAAAACAGTCCAATTTGACTGTACTGAAGATCACGGTTTTGGGTTTGGTACCCTGGAAGTAAGTATTTTGCAATATTATGTTATAGTGTAAGAGTATGAGAAAAATGAGAAAATTGCCCTCTAACTTACATTCAACTTACTAAGTGAGTCTACGAAACACTATTTCTCGTATGTGACAAAACAAAATAAATATTTGTACCTTCATGAAGGTCTAAAAAGTAAAGTGCTTTGCAAGAATAAATGAAAGTGAGGGGAACAGAAAGAGGATTCATAGATAAGATATAGGAAGGGATGTTTGACTGAATTGCTGAAAATACAGCCCTTCTGTCACATGAAGTTCTCTCCTCCAGTATTATTTATAATATTGAATAATAAACGCTGTTCTGTTTTGTTTTTCCCTTTAGGAAAATATAAACATCGATGAAGCCTCCAGATGCCTGGTGAAACACATTCTTGCAAATGAGTGTGACCTGATGGAGTCCATTGAGCCAGACATCGTGAAGCCCCACCTCACGTCGCCCAGGGTTGTCAGCTGCTCCAGCTGTGCCAAATCTTAGTGGGCTTCTTTGCTGGCATATGGTGGAAATAACCCCATCATCTCATAGATTGTGCCTCAATTTTTACCATTTGGGAAAATGTCATGATAGGGACACACACGTGGCAAGCCAAAGATCTATGCCTGTATCTTTCCTATACGAGAGAAATAGCAAATGTTCTTTTAATGTTTTTTTTTTCCCAGCATCAGCACTGTGTTTACAAGCAGTTAAAATATTTAGTGTGTTAAAAAATCCTGTCTTGTAGCTGACCACAATTCTGCAGGACCAGAGTGGGCTGAGCTATTTGCTTCTTTGAATTAGTCAAGGCCTCAGGTTTTAAAGAGAAAGGAGAGAAGAGCAGACTGGCTGGCAGGTTAAGCATTGGCTTTCGCTTTACCTCTGATATTTTTGCCCAGATTTCAATACATTCTCTGCTGCCCTAACTGGCCTCTTAAGCTGAAATGGTCTTTCCTCCAGAGATGACCTGCATTCTCAACAAACCTAAGGGTTTTCTCTGATTTAGCTCATCGGAGTCATGCATACAGGCTTCCTGTGCTTTCGTTGCTTTTGTTGTTACTTGCCATGCCCTGAATGTTGGTTGCACTGAAAAAGGTATGAAAAAGATCTGCCCTGTTTGTGCCTTTTTGTTAGCTTCCTCGGACTCATGCTATGGGACTCTGTACATGTAATATATATTGTATATATTTTCACAAGTGAAAAATAAAACATTAACAGATGCTGTTTCCTTATTTCTGAAAGTGCTTCACTTTTCTTAGTATTGTGAGCTTTTTTTTGACTGTGTATCCATGGTTCTCAAGACTCATTTCTAAAATTCTGTTTCAAAGAGGAGATTGGAAGTGTGCATTTAATGGAACTCCTGGGCACAATTAAAACTGAGATGAGTCTATTCCATCTGTATCTACTGTTCATATCGACATTTAGGCCAAGAAAGTAAGTAGTGTATACAAATTTCTTTGGTTAAGCAGAGAAATATATCCTCATATATTCTGATCAAGAAAGGTGCCAGACCAATCAACATAAAAAAGGAAAACACCCAGCTAAAATATGCATAGTGATACCTTGCTTTACACAAGGCCTGTGGTGCTGGTATGTTGCTACTTTTTAAGGGCATTGTTTTCCACTGATGTTCGTCATGTACTCATAGGAGCTTTATCTTTTGTAACAGATGTTTTGGTGTGCTCTACCCGTATTATTTTGGCACTCACTGTTTCCATAAGCACCAGCCACACAGCTTCTTGTTATAAGTGTTGGTTACCCTTTCCCTGAGGGCATTCCTGATCTCTGAAGCACTTGACCCCTGAAGCAGGCAGACCAGAAGTGCCAGGGAGTTCATGTCTACAGGAGTAGGCCTCAACCAAGGAATTGTGGGATAAATACCCTGTTTTTTTTGCCCCTCAGGAAGAATAATCCTGAGATACATGCTATGCAATGTCTCAGAACTTCCCAATGGTATTAAATCCCTGGTTCCCCCAGGGGAACCTTCCATCTGACTCATCCTTTATTAGCTTCCATTCCTTCTATCATTACTTTCCCACTCCTCTACTGGTGCTTCCTGGGTTCACTTCCCAAATAAACTCCTTTCTCTCAAATCCTCATTTCATGGTCTTATGGGGGAAGCCCAGCCTAAGTTAGTTGGGACAGAGATGGGTTAGGAAGCAGCTCCTCAATACCAGCTTCTTGAAATGAATCATTCACTACCCAGGTGGTAGCAAGGCCTCCTTGCTGGTGCATAATGTGGTGGGGCTAATCCCTGGCAAGATGTAACCTCATAATTACCAAGACTCCTCTCAGGGATAAAATATAGATGGAGAGAAATTCTATTGCTCTTGTGTTTGAAAGATACAGGATTGTGGAGTTAGTTAATCTCCATAGAAATTCTGTAGGAAAAAAATATTTTAGATTTGGTCAGCCAATATTCAATTCAGGATTTGAGGTGAAAGCTTGAAGACCTCCAACCAACAGTCAAAATAATCCTCCTTTCCTTTAGTTACAGGACAGACCATACTGAAAATTTGGCCTAAGATTTGATTTTAGGAGAAGAGTTGTAAAGGAGGCTGGATTCACAAAACTAGCAAGTTTCCTCCACTAAAATCAGGATCTTTTACGGGAAGGAGTCAGACACTGAAATGTAGGAGGAGATATTTAGGTAGATGCTCTTAAGAGTCTCGAACCCAGGGATTCTTCGGAAACTCTGGCCCAGAAAAAGAGGCCCTTACGCTTTCCAGTGGGAGGACAGCCAATGGACTTATAAGAGCTCCACCTCAGTAGGATGTTTTATAAGGTGGTGCTTTACTTTCTTAAGTTCTGCTCTCATCTTCCTTCATTGCTTCTGGACAGATAACTAGAGTCAATTCTCAGCATGACCTGAGCAGAAAGGTATGTTGTAGGATGAAATGGATTATTAATCAAATGAGCTATAGAACCTGGCTAGGAAGTACTAGTAGGACTCCTGAGAACATTCTAAGAAATTGATCTTGGGATGCTGGATCAGGGAGAACAGAACGTAAGACCAAATAATAGGTAATCTTTTTCTATGAAAATGCTCTTTCATGAGTTAATTTTTTAACATTCTGGCAAGGACACTTGGAGCTGATCCCAGTGTGCTACTGGAATAGCTTTTTAAAGCTGGAAACAATGTTGGCTTAAAATAAATAACGTAGAGATGCCAAACTACTACAAAGTATTGGAGAAGTGCTCCAAGGTCTCAGAGATGTGGGCATGTTATAATGTATTTATTCGTGATGCCAGAGAAACTACCAGCTAATTATGTTCCCCAGGAGAGCCCAAAAGGCACTCCCTTCACTGAAGCAATCAGGAATGTCCCCAAAAGAAAGAGGAACACAAACATCAATGAGAAGCTCAGTGGTGACTGTATTCTGTAGACCAGGTTTGACGTTGTAAATATGTTGCTGTTTTTCACTTGGAATGACATGCTACATGGGTAATGCTTAAGATGCGGTATTACTATTAAATGCTCTTAGTGTATTTATTTTGTGTCCTGGATAGGTAGCTTCAAAAGGTGGCACTAGGAGTGAAGCCCCCACTATTACTTTTAATAATCCATTTAAGAAAGTGAGCCTCTCCTTTTTACAATTTCAGGATCTACAGAGTTAGAAGCTGAGAAAGTTCTACCAGGGACACAGTAAGGATTCTAGTAAATCTACAGCTTCAGCTACTGCCTAATTATTTTTGGCTCCTCACGTCCACAGACCAGCAGTTAGAGAAGACAGTTACTCTGCAGGCAAGGGTAGTTCTTCCTGATTACCAAGAGGACGTAGGGTGACTGGCAGATAATGGAGCTGGGAGGAGTATGTCTGGAAATCATGGGACTCACTGGGGTGCCTCTTGATACTCCATTCCTGGTAAGAACCAAAAGGGCAATCGCAACAACAAAGTCCGTGAGGATAAGTAACTGGGTTACAAGGACAGGTAACCTGAGACTCATACTCTCAGGGATAAAAGAGCGCAATATTGGCAATATTGCACCATGCGATGAACCTAGACTAGAAGCAGGTTGGTCAAGGGAATAGAAGTGGTAAAGGGTGGAAATAATGAATGTCAATTATGGTCTCAAGATAAAGTACAACAGTGGAGACTGTAGCTTGTCCCACCAAACCCCCTTCTGTCTCACTCTCTCTTGCTGTCTCTCTCTCCCTCCCCGACTTCCTTAATAAAATGTCAGTGAAAGCACAGAATGAACTAGGCCAAGGTGTGGACTAGACAATAGCAGAGGAAATGTCTCTATATCCTCAGCATATGGCTAAACGCTTTCTCTGGATGCATGAAGTGTATTTGTCTTGCATGCTGAACAGGTCAGAGTGCTATAAAATTAACACCTCCGAGAGCAGTCTCATCTAAAACTGACATAAATTGGTAAATAACAGCCCAGCTCCCTCACCCGTCAGGCGGGATAAACCTGAGGCTTGCTCTGTAGTCTGTCAGAGGGCCCTGCGAGACTGAGGCAAAGGTTCCCACGGCGGTAGGCTGCTCATTAGCACAGCCTTCTTGGTTTCCGTCTCTTCCCTGTCTCACTTCTCTACTCCACCAGTGCTTCCAAGGATCACCTCCCAATTAAGAGATCTTCCTTTTTGAGAAAGCTTCAGCTGCTAAGTAGTACTTAAAACATCAGTGCATCTGAATAAAACTGGCACTGCAATGGAATCTCTAATGTATTTTTTTCGAAATAGCCACTGAAATGTGGTTCTGAGGTATGTATTGTAAGATCAGAACTAAGTGTCTTCTAACCCTCTTCCACTACAGAAAATTGTTATTTATAGTCTTCAAAATGAATATTCCTTGACTCACTGATCCCTTTACTCCCTCACCAAATATCTGTTGAACAATTGCTGTGTTCCTTACACTGGTCTAGGCACTCTCGCAGAGATACAAATGACCAAGTCGTTTTCTTAGGTCTTAAGGTGTGACGATCAGGAAGGAAACTCAAACGTGAACAGTTCACCAGGTATCAAAAGAGAAGTCAAATGTCCAAACCAAGACATTCTTCTGAAAACGATTGGTTTCTAAATGCAGGGACTGCAGCGCCAATGTCGTTTAAGGAAATAGAATATATGTTCCTGCTGTTCTTTTCCTATCACCCCAACACTGATCTATCCACACTATGCTGCTGTTTTGTTCAGCTGCTCTTTGCAGTATTTCTTTTTTTTTGGCTTGGGAATTCTATTTAATCTTCAAGGATCAGCACAACAGCACAGCCTTGTAGTCTGTCAATCTCTGTAGGTTATTCAAATTGCTTTCCATACTTGCACAGCTCTTTTAAAAAAATTATTTAAAATTTAAAACAAATTTATTGGAGGGACAATGAGATCATATAGGTTTCAAGTGTACATTTCTATGATATGTGCTCTGTATATTGCATTGTGTGCCCACCACCCAAAGTCAAATTATCTTCCATCACCATATATTTGGCTCCCTTTACCCTTTACTACCCCCCAGCCCCTTCCCCCTGATAATCACAATACTCTTGTCGGTATCTATGTGTTTTTGCTTATTTGTTTTTCTTGTTTGTTTGTTACTTTCAGTTTTATATCCCACATGTGAGTGAGATCATATGGTCCTTAGTGTTTTCTGCCTGATTTATTTTACTTAGTATGATATTCTCGAGGTCCATCCATGTTGTCACAAATGGCAGTATTTCATATTTTCTTATGGCTGAGTAGTATGCCATTGTATACATGTACCACATCTTCTTTATCCAGTCATCTATCGAAGGACATTTTGGTTGTTTCCATGTCTTGGCCACTGGGAATAATGCTTCAATGAGCATTGGAAAAATTTTGAGAATATTTATTCACAAAGATATATGCACAGCTTTTGATTGACTCCATCACCAAACACTCACATTCTGCAGTCTAGTGATGTACCAACTGTAATTTACAGAACACATACTATGTGATTGTCACTGATATGTAACTTTACCTTTATTATGTCATTTAATTCCCAGAGCCCTACGTGAAAGTACTCATCTCATTTTATATATGAAAAAATTGAAGCAACTTACTGAAGCAAGATACTGAGCAACTTACCAAAGCTCACACATACAACGGGCAAAGGATTTAGACCCAGTCAGCCTAATTCTCACCTCTGTGCTCCTAACCATCTAACCATTGTGCTAAACTGTCTCCTCTTAGATGTCTGGAGGGGGCAATATTCTGAATGCAGAGCACAATGCTCAGAAAATGATAGTTGAATTTACCATATGCCATACACT